CAATGTCCCAAGGAGGAGCAGAAGGAGGGAGAATATGAGCAAAGAAGTCAGGACCACGAGGGGTGCACCCACCCACGGAGACAGTGGGGCTGATCTATTGTGAGCTCACCAAGGCCAGCTGGACTGCGACTGAAAAAGCATGCGATAAAACCGGACTCTCTGAATATGGCGGACAATGAGGGCTGCTGAGAAGCCAAGGACAATGCCACTGGGTTTTGATCCTACTTCATGTTCTGGCTTTGTGGGAGCCTAACCAGTTTGGATGTTCACCTTCCTAGACCAGGATGGAGCGGGGAGGACTTTGAACTTTCCACAGGGCAGGGAACCCTGACTGCCCTTCAGACTGGAGAGGGAGAGGGAGAGGAATGGGGGGAGGGGGAGAGGAGAGGGAGGAGGAGGGGAAAAGGGAGACGGGGAGGGAAATGGGAGGCGGGGAGGAGGCGGAAAAAAATTTTTTTTCAATAAAAAATTATATTAAAAAAAAACCTTTAAAGCAATTTGTGAATTTACAGATTTGTATTTTTAATTCAGTATATTATAATCTACCACTGCTACTGGGATTTGTTGTTATTTTGTGTGTTGAGACAGAGGCTTGCTGTGTAGCACAGGCTGGCCTGGAACTGGCTCTGTAATCTAGCCTAGAGTTTGAGCTCCCAATTCTGCCTCTGTTGCCGAGGAGCTGAGATTGCAGAGGTTTACATTGGTACTGTGCTGTGTTGTTCATATTTGCTCCATGAGACATCAGCAAGCCAACTTTATGGCTACATTGTCACATAGTTTTTACCTTTCCCTCCTGTTTTTTAAGGCACAACACATATTTCTGTTCACCTTACTCTCTGTTGTGGAGATGGATGTAACAATTCATTAAGCTAGTCTTTTTTACTCATGTAAGTAATAACTCAGTGTTACTAGAGGTATAGCTTCAGGATAAGTTCTTAGAAATTAACTTTCCTGAGTGTGGGGTTGACACATAAATAGTTTTGTGAGTTCTTGATGAACTCTTGTGCTTTGCTGTCATTTAGCACACCCGCAGGCCTGCTTAGAGAGGCTGTTGTCACGCTTCTAAATTGTTTCTAATCTGCTGAACAAGAATTGGTATCTCAGTACAATTTCAGTTTCCTTTATGAATAAAATTGAACATTTTTTTTCATAATTTTAAGGATCGTCTGTTTATCTTTGGACTGTCTTGTTCAGGGTTTTGTGTTTGTTTGTTTTTGGTTATTTTTACTCCCAATTTTTAAATCCTATAGAGAAATCAGTACTTGATTTGCAATGTATATTGCAAATATTAAGCACTAGTATTAACCTTTATTTCTGTCACAGTAAGGAATTAGACATTGGAACTTCTGCTATATGCTTATCTTACCATTTTATTAATTTGTTTTTCAGTCATTTTGATTCTTTGTCTTGAAAGAAAACAAATCAATCATCTAGTACATACTGTTTCAAAAGTCAATCCAAATGGTTCTTTCTTAGTTACCAAGAATTTCTGAGTGAGAGAGATAAGTGATTTAAATAAGAAGTGTGACTGAAGCTGCTTTTCAGGGAATTACTCAAATTGGTGATAATTTTCTTATCTCAGAACAAAAGAAAATATGTGAGATTCTATAATTTTATAATTAGTTTGGAATCAAACACTAATCTTTTGTTGAGGATGTCAATGAGAATTTATTACTAGTTGCGATTATATTAAACATGAATGTTTCTCACTAGGAGAAAAATACTTATTATGAACTACATTTTTTTGTATGTTTCAGGTTTTGACAACAATCCGTTCTGGGCATCGAGCAAATATATTTAGTGCAAAGTTTTTGCCGTGCACAGATGATAAGCAGATTGTGTCTTGCTCTGGAGATGGAGTCATTTTCTATACTAATATCGAGCAAGATGTGGAAACAAACAGACAGTGCCAATTTACGTGCCATTATGGAACTACTTATGAGGTACAGTGTTGTGATTGCATGTGTAAATGCATGGAGATGTATCAGTGCATTTGTTTACACATGCATCTATACTGTTAAGTATAGAAATTATTGGCAGGTTGTATTTCACCAAAGCCTTCTGAAAGTTTATCTTCATAAATTTTGTGGATAAAGTTATAAAAGTAAGAATCAAGTATTAGTATTGTAAGATGAATTTGCAGTTGCTTAAACAATCATGCCTTAAACAGGTGCTAGCCCTTATTCCCTCTGTGCATTTATTGGTTAGGGTTTCTATTGCTGTGACAACACCATGACCATGGCAACTTTTATAAAGGAAAACATTAATCGGGATGGCTCACTTAGTTCAGACATTCAGTCCATTTTCATGGTGGGGAGCATGGCAGTGTGCAGACAGACATGGTGTTGGATAAGTAACTGTGAGTCCTACATCTTCCAGCCAACAGGAAGTCACCTGAGATATAACAAGGCCAGACCACACTCCAACAAAGCCACACTTCCTAAAAGTGTCACTCCCTATGAGCTTCTGCGGGCTAATTACATTCAAGCTACCGCGCCCTGGCCCCCATAAGCTTTTAAAAATATCATAATGCAAAATGCATTCAGTCCAACTTCAAAAGTACCCACCATAGTCTATCATAGTCTCAACAATGTTTAAAAGTCTAGAATTCAAAGTCTCTTCTGAGATTCTTGCAACCTCTTAACTGTAATTACCTGTAAAATCAAAAATCAAAAGCAGATCACATACTTCAACATGTAATGGCTCAGGATATACATGACCATTCCAAAACATAGGGCAGGGAGCATAGTGAGGAAACACTGGACCAAAGCAAGACTGAAAACCAGCTGGGCAGACTCCAAACTCTGCATCTCCATGTCTGACATCAAAAGCTTTTCAAATCTTCAACTCCATTCAGCTTTGTTGTCTACCACACTTCTTTCTCTTGGGATGTTTCCACTCCCTGTTAGAGCTCTCCTCTACAGGTATCCTAAGACTCTGTCATCTCTAACATCTTGGGTTCTCCAAGGCAATCCAGGCTTCAACTTCACAGCTTCACGCAATGACCTCTATACTAGGCCTACACTCAGGGACATCTGGACACATCCTGGCCTCAGCAGTTTTCCTTTGGCGTGAAGGCAAATTCCATAACCTGTTTCTTTTATCCATAACTCTAAAGCCGGAACCACATGGCTGAAGCTGCCAAACTCTGCTGCTTCCTAGAACTGGATCACGCCCCCCTCATTCAATTAAGTCCTCACTAGCTTTCTGTCCTTCCCTGCTTAAGCTTGACTGTCCTTGAACTTGTCCTGTGGACCAGGCTGGCCTCAACTCAGGTGTCCACCAGCCTCTGCTGCTGGAGTGATTAAAGGTGTGCACTACCACTCCCAGCTCTAAGCTTTGCTTTAGTTCTTTGAGTTAGAAATTTAGCTGGGTGTGATCTTGCCCTGAGGCCACCACTCCTTTTATTCATCTTAATCTATTGATCTCTTTTAGCACAGAATTTAGCTCTGTCTGTGTCCTGGTGCCCCTTTTCTCAATTTATATATTTTGTAATGTACCCTGCTCAGTTTGCTCCTTTGTTTTATAAATCTTCATTAGAATTACCCTAATAACCACATGGCAGAGTCTATACTAGGCTGTTTTGAGATTTCTTCTGGCAACGGAAGTAATACAAAACTTCTTATTTTAACCTAGGCAGATTCTTTGGAAAAGGGCAAAAAGCAGTCACATTCTTTACCTCAGTATCACAAGAATGATCTCTAGGCCATGTATTAATATTCTTCTCCTCTGTAACCTTGTGAGCCAGCATCCCACAGTTCAAATAACTCTTTGCAACTCTCTCTAATGTTCTACTAGTATGGCCTATTAAGCAGTGCTTAAGCGTTTCGCTGCTTTCCTAACCCAAGTACCAAAGTCAATATTACTCCAAACAAAAACATGATCAGGCTTATCAAAGTACTAGTACCCCACTCCTGGTTCCAACTTCTTCTGTTTTAGGGGTTCTGTTGCTGTAAAGAGACATCATGATCATGGCAACTCTTATAAAGGAAAACATTAATTGGAATAGCTTACTTATACTTCAGAGGTTCAGTTCATTATCATCATGGCAGGGAACATGGTGGTGTACAAGCATACATGGTGCTGGAGAAGTAGCCGAGAGTCCTACATCTTCCAGCTAACGAGAAGTCAACTGAGACACTGAATGGTATTTTCATGTATGATCACTAAATCTATTACTAGGTCAACAGCTAGACTAGACACAGATTTCCTAATTTGCTTTGAACTCCTGGTCTAGTCTTTGTCACAGGGCATCACTTATAAATGTTCTAATGATGCATATTGTAATTACCTGAGTGAAACTTGGTTTTCTAAACTAGTGAACTAATTAGATGAAGGAATTAAATCAATCATATAAACAATACTTTAGGAAATATGTGCTCTGCAATTTGGTTTATAGACAGTAGTATACTAAGTGAAAAATGACCCTTTTATTGAATGAAGTCATCAGAGCTGAGTCAGCAACAAGTTGCAAATATGTTTTACTGATAAAATGACTTCATAATTAAATAATTCAGCACTTCTAACTCATTGAGATGATGTAGTAATCACATTTCTCACAAATATGAAATAAGTCAAAAGTCGTATCTTTCTTGAAATATGCATTCCCTTCATTTGTGTTGGGTGTGCTTTTTATAATCGCCTTCTGTGATGTATGTCTTATTATTTTGTGTTGTTTATAAACTTGTTCAATAAAAGCAAAGAAATATCAGTACTAGAAGTTTTAGAGAAACAGATACAATAAATATATCTATACATAAGACTTTAAGCAATACATTTTTTTAAAATCTAATAATTCTAAAAGTCAACTAAAATTAATCTTTCTAGGCTCAAATTCAAGTGTTTATGGGTTTATGAACCTTATGATTTTACCTTTTCCACTTCAATAACCTTTATACTGCTCTGAATCAGGGTTCCTTCCTCCATCTTTTAAGTCAATTCTTCAAAATGTTTTTTGTGTTTCTTTACTTGAATTTTTCCATTATCTTGTGGTCTTTTCTGACAGATTTTTGCCTCCCTCTTTGACTCATAATGATTTTTATAATTATTTTGGCTCCATATGGAGAATTCTGCATAATCTTCCCACTTAAACATCCTTAATTTAAACATATTTCCAAAGTTAAGTTGCTCAAAGCTTATAATTTTGGAAAATCTTATATGAAGTCTTATTGATATAATTTCAAAGAAATCATATTTTCCAAGGCTGCTATATGTCTGTGTATTCTCTGTTTTAAATCATGCTTTGGATAAATCATAGATAATGACAAACATGGATAGTTTTGCTGTGTTCACCTTCACGGATGTATCAAACAGTAGCAGTGTGTTTCTAAGCTGCCTGTTTAGTTGTTTAGTAGTGTTTCTTTTGTTTCATCTTCAGATTATGACTGTACCAAATGACCCTTACACCTTTCTGTCCTGTGGTGAAGATGGAACTGTTAGGTGGTTTGACACACGCATCAAAACTAGTTGCACAAAAGAAGACTGCAAAGATGTAAGAATCCAAGTTTTATAACAAGTGATTTAGAAAATTTAATTATGATTCAATAATACCTTTGGTGATAGTTTTATTTTGCTAAAATTTTCAATCACAAAATTCTTTCAGTATTAACGAGGTTGAGAAACTTCTATTTCGGTTGTCCATTTAAATATATTTTTATAGAGGATAGAGAGATGACTCTGTAAATGACCTGAGTTTTAAACCCAAGAACCCAGGTAAAAGCTGGTGTGGCAGTGTGCATCTGTAATCCTATAGGCAGATTACAAATGGTGAGCTTCAGGGTTCGTGAGAGACTGTTTCAAAGAATAAGGTATAGAGCAATTGAGGATGACCCCTGACATTGACCTCTGACTTCTGTACCCATATGCACTCCTGTACGGGCATGAACACACCTACACCCCCACCCACCTACAAATACACACACACACACACACACACACACACACACACACACACACACACACACACACACTATGTGACAGTTTGTCTAGTTTTCTAAAAACCTGGAGAGTTCATCTCATTTACTAAGTAGACAGTTTGACTTACCAAAACAGCAGTGGTTAAAAGTCTATGAAACCAGAGTATCTTTCCCTCCATCTTTTAAAATAAGAATTTTTGTTTGCTTTTAAAGAAATAGTGAAATTTATCTCACATTTCAAGATTTGCTTACCTATTAGTATTTTATGAATTAATATTTAAAACTTACAAAAGGCCTCAGGTGGGTGGCGGCAGCCCATGCCTTTGATCACAGCACTTGGGAGGCAGAAGCAGGCATATCTCTGCAAGTTTGAGACCAACTTGGTTCACAGAGCAAGTTTTAGGACAGCCAGGGATACACAGAGAAACCCTGTCTCAAAAACAAAAACAAAAACAAAAACAAAAACAAGCAAACACACAAACAAAAAAGCCTGAAAAAAATATTTTTTGGCTTTAGACAGCTTCTCCCAAGAGTTTTATCTGTCATACACTATGAAGAATACAGTAGCTCTTTACTGAATCATTGAAGTGTTAATGAAATATTGTTCACTTTATTTTCATAGCAGCCAAAAACAAAACAAAACCAAGAATCATTATTATTCAAGTTGAATAATTACTAACTAAACCAGAATAACCACAAAAAATTATATATTTGAAACTGATGAAGCAGAAAATAAAAAGTAGGAAAAAAAATTTTTTTCAAGACGGGTTTCTTTTTTAAAAAAATATTTATTTATTTATTTATGTTGAATAATTACTAACTAAACCAGAATAACCACAAAAAATTATATATTTGAAACTGATGAAGCAGAAAATAAAAAGTAGGAAAAAAAATTTTTTTCAAGACGGGTTTCTTTTTTTTTTTTTTAAACATTTTTTTAAAGATTTATTTATTTATTATGTATACAGTATTCTCAGTACTCTGCCTGCAGGCCAGAAGAGGGCACAGATCTCATTACAGATGGTTGTGAGCCACCATGTGGTTGCTGGGAATTGAACTCAGGACCTTAGGAAGAGCAGGCGGTGCTCTTAACCACTGAGCCATCTCTCCAGCCCTCAAGACGGGTTTCTTTGTGTAGCCCTGGTTATCCTGGAACTCATTCTGTAGACCAGGCTAGCCTCAAATGCTTGAGAGCCATCTGCCTCTGCCTCCCAAGTGCTGGGATTAGAGGCATGTGCCACACTGACTGGCATACAAACAGATATTTTAAACACAAAATTTTGATCTGTTTTATGTTATATAACATATATAAACACATACACACATTGAAAGGTGAAATAAGTTTTAAATATTGGGTGTTTAGGGATCAGGGATGTAGCTGATTAGTAGCTAGCATGCCAAAAGCCCTGTGTTTGAACTTTAGTATTGAGGAAAAATGTGCATATATGATATCTCCCCATACACGCATTTTTAAATACATTTTCCCAAATCACTAAAAAACTATTTTTAACACTGTACCTCAGGAATAAAAACTACTCGGGAGAGATAACCTCCTCTCCCTGAGTAGTGGCCTGGAGGATGGAGGGCAGGTAGACTATCTGAAACACCCTGCAGAGTCAGGGCAGGAAGCACTCTCAGTGGTGAGTCCCGTGAGCACTACTGGAGAAAACAGGACTAGGCCAGGACTAGTTTTAGGCATTCAGGTGAGAAGGGCAAGAGAGTTGACTAGTGAGGGGCTTCAGGTACTTAGGTGAAGGGCAAGAGGGAAGCCATGAAGTTCCTTGGTTACTTCTCGTTTGTTGTTTTTTTGCTTTATGCAGCATAATCCTTGAGTTTGCCTGCTTGAAGAGGTAGCAGAAAGCCCATCATTTTGGTACTTGCCCTTACCTTGATGTAATTGCTTTGCCTTTCCCTATTCTGGCAGGCAAGCTCATGTTGGCTTTTGTGGGCAAGAGCAATGACCCTGACCTCCCTCCATGGAGTCCCCTCATTCTGTCCTAGGTTGCATGTTATATACATATTTTACGTGTATGCATAACGTTCTTTGAGAACATATGCTATATGCATTTCTTAGTAAATGGTTAGTACTGTACTCATTATTTCAAACGTTTTTAAACCATAGATTAATCCACACTTTAGGAGGGTACAGGTGTCCTTTTCTAAGCAACATCCTCATAATAATACAAGGGCTAAGAAGTAGAAGAGTTATTTCCTTTATAAAGCTTATTATGTGTATAGTCAGAAAGTATAAAGAAAATCCAGTGATGACAGAATAATTCCTAACAAGATCTTCAAATTATGAAATTGGTAAATGTGTATGATAGGAATAATATTGTGGCTAAATATGCTAGAAATAAATTCTAATAGTCTTGAAAGATAAATTACAAAGAAACCATTTTTTTCCTCTTTTTGTTTTTGTTCACTGAATTAGAATGTCTGAAATAGGTTATTGTCTTACAATGAGAGGGGAAATATTTAAATTTAGAGTACTTCTATTTCTATATAGCTATATGTAACTGGTCTCATGCCTGTCTTTTATAGGATATTTTAATCAACTGCCGGCGTGCGGCCACATCTGTGGCTATTTGTCCCCCAGTACCCTATTACCTTGCTGTGGGTTGTTCTGATAGCTCAGTACGAATTTATGACCGGCGAATGCTGGGCACAAGAGCTACAGGTGAGGAAATATTTGGCAAAATTTGGGACTGTTCAAAGAAATGTTTATAACATTTTACACTCATATAGTTTTTAATTTTGTTATAAAATGTTACTTAAATAACAGATTATTTTAAGAGAAAAAGTATTTTACTAATTTTTTTAAAAGTTTTTCATTTTACATAGCAACCACAGTTCCCTCTCCCTCTCTTCTTTCTGTTTCCCCCAACATTCCTGCACCCAACGTCCCCTCATCCACTCCTCAGAAGGGGTAAAGCTTCCCATGCGGGGGCACTCTGTTGGAAACTAGGTATAGTGGCTGTAGTCCAGCACTCTATAGCTGGAGGCAGGAATCAGAAGTTCAGGGTCATTCCTGTTTGAGGCCAATAGGTACTACAGGAGGCCTTATCTCAAGAAAAAGAACAGACTCTATTGGAGTAATGCTTCCACAGTTATCAACTTAAAATATCGTAACAGGAGCTGGGGAGATGTTTCAGTAGTTAAGAGCATTTGCTGCTCTTATAGCAGACCTGAGTTTGGGTCCCTGCACCCAAGTTTAGTCAGCTCCCAACTACACCAGATGATTCACAAACTGTCTGTAACTCCTACTCTAGCAAATCGAATGTGTATTCTTCTGACCTCCATAGGTACCTACATCTAGAAACACTCACATACACACCCCAACACACACACACACACACAAACACACACACACACACACACTCAAGCAAACACTTAAACACTTGATTTGTTTTTTCCAAGACTGCCATAATAAATTATTCAAAGCGAGTATCTTAAAATAATAGAAATTTGGAAATTTTTTTCTTGCATTTCTAGAATTTAGGTATCTATCTGAAATCAAGATGTCTTAGGGTTAGTTCTTCTAGAGACTTAGGTGAGCATCTGTTCTGTGCCTCTCTTTTACCTCATGATAATTGTTGCCAATTTTGGCAGTACAGTAGAACACTTCAATTCATAAATGTACCATTTCTTGCAAGTAATTAGGAGACATACTGGTAAAGGAAAATAGATTTATTTATTCCTTAATTAATTAATCCTTCAACCGGAGAGAAGGATTCCTACTTTCTCTCTGCCTTTTTTGTAGCAGTATTGTAAATTTATGGAAAGGCTGAAACAAAAGCCAGGAAGTAGAGGTGTACAATTTAGGCAGAACTGTGTAAAATCTCTTCCTGGAAGTCATAATCATTTTCTAGCTGTCATCACGGCTTTAGCCTTTCTTGCCTCAAACATGATAGTCCTGGGGAAATTTTAATTCTCTGAGACCCATTTAATAGTCTTAAAGCCACAGAGAAAGATACAGGTATCTCTCTTTAGACTATCTCCTTTGCTGCCAGTACAGTTACAAAATCAGACTTAAATTCAGTACTGCAACAATATTCAAAATATTCCAAGCTAAGAAGATATAAAATATGCTACATATTATATACCTAAGTCCAATTAAAAAGGTCACGCATGTATACGTGTACATGTATATATATATATATCAAATATATGGCCACATTGTTATGGAAAATAAAGTACTTGGGCAGAAACCACCAGTGTCAGTAATAACCAACTTAGACTATCAAATGTGTGGGAATACCAGATGACAGCTTTTCTGTTCTTTTTTTTAATAAATTATTTACTTTTATTTATTTGGTGTTTTGCCTGCATATATGTCTGTGTGAGGGTATCAGATCTTGGAGTTACAGATAGTTGTGAACTCCCATATGGGTGCTGGGAATTGAACCCAGGTCTTTTGGAAGAGCAGTCAGGGGTCTTAATCAATGAGCTATCTTTCCAGCCCCTCTGTTTGTTTGAATCAACTTTAATTCTTTGACAATTTTACATATTTATATACTATATTTTGATCATTTCCTCCTCCAGTCTTCTGTTTTATCCTCCTCCCTCTCCCTGTAATCCTTCTAGTCCAACCCTGTCCCTCCTACATTCATGTTACTTTCCCTCAATGCCTGTTGAGTTTAATAGAGTTGCTTGCATGTGCGTACATGTGACTTATTTACTGGACATGGACAACTTACCAGTGGCTACATCTCTGAAGAAAAATTACTCCCCTTTTCTAGCCTCATTACTCCCAGTAGCTCTTCAGTTGGAGGTGGGACCTCATATGCCCCTCTCCCATCAGTTTAGACTGTCAGTGGGCTTACCTTGTGCAGGTAACCATAGCTATTTGTGGGTTCATGAGTGCAATAGCAGTATTACATTCAAAATAACCTTTCACATCATTCCTCCTCGGCCTCAGGCTTTTGCCTTCTGAGAGATTTTCTCTTTTGAACTGTGATGAGGAGTCCTGTCAATTTGAATATGCACATTTTGGGTGAAACAGTGTGATAATATGAAAACATAGGTGTCAGTATTATTCTCAACAAAAACAATTTACATTTTTAGCAGGATGAGACTTGATCGTGCAGAAGTACACAGCTTTAGGGATCCTTAGAATTTAGCATTCCTGGACAAATTGAACTCTCTCCTCCCATACTGAATTGTACTGAAGACTACCAGAGTTTTTTTGTTTTGTTTTGTTTTGCTTTGTTTTGTTTTGTTTTTCGAGACAGGGTTTCTCTGTGATTTTGGAGCCTGTCCTGGAACTAGCTCTTGTAGACCAGGCTGGTCTCGAACTCACAGAGATCCACCTGCCTCTGCCTCCCAAGTGCTGGGATTAAAGGCGTGTGCCACCACCGCCCAGAGTTTTTAAAATTGGGATTATAAACTAGACTTTGTGGTCTAGCTACATCTCTAGTCCTTGAAATTTTGAAACCTTGTGATTTGGTTGTATAGTTGAGGTCACCCTTGACCTTGATTCTCCTCTCTTGCCTTCCCAGTTTTGGGATCATAGGCATTGGACCCCTGAACTCCACTGTGGCCTCTTGGGTCCTGCAGGTGGCGCATATGTGAGGAGCAGTACTTGTAGTTTCTGCTGCCTTTCTCAGTAATTACATTTTAAGTGGAGGTGGTGGAGACGCCAGTGAAGCAGCTTCTGTGAGTCATCACCCATGTAGGGTGCGACTTTTCAGAGCTACAGCTGTTTCTAGCACTAAGTTTCATCTCTCAGCTACAGCTGTGTCTTGGAAGGAAAGAGCAATCATGGCCCTTCTGGGAGAGGTCCTAAAAGTTCCTCTGAGCTGCTGTTTTCTTAGTTGACCAAGCCCTGCTAGCTTTGAGAGAAGTGGACTAGATGGCTATCAAGGCTCCCCGGAGGTGGCAGGAATCACTGGTGTGCTCAGACATACTGGACTTCCTTCTTGTAGTGTCTGGGAGCCAGCTCTCTGCACCATGCAGACTATTTAGGAAGCCTTTAGTAAAGGGTCCAGAGAGTGGTGAAGGCTGTGTCGAGTCCTACACGAACCATACCTGAAAGAGGAACCTGGAAGAGAAAGACCATCCAAAGCTGCAACAAAATAATAGCCTATTACCTTCAACATGATTATAAAGTCCTGTTTAACAGTCAGAGTTCAAACAGTGGTGCTCATTTAGCAAGGCCTTTTCCTTTTTCTTGGAAGACAGAAGAGTCATCAGAAATTTTTTAAAAACTAAATTCTCCTTAAACTCATAATCCTCTTCTTGAGATCTTTTAGTGTAGAATACGTGTATCATGAGCCATTGTGCATTATTTGGCTTATCTTAGTTGCAGTAGTTATTTACATTTTTAATTTAGATATTCTCAGATGATTGATTCAGTTATATAGAATATCACTAGACTAGGAAGAAACCACGGTACTTTCAATAGAATTGGTGTTTAAAATCGTCAATAATATGTTCTCCACATGCAAGAAGGTTGGAGAGATGGCTAAGCAGTCCAGAGGACCTACCCGGGTTTGATTCCCAGCATCTACAAAGTGGTTAGCAACCATTTGTAATTCCAGTTCCAGTTTCCTATTCCAGCCTCCATGGGCATTGCACATACATTCTTCATAAACATACATGTGAACGGAATACCAATACCATAAAAAAAAATCTCAATTTTTTTAATGGCAAAAAAGGCTCTGTCAAAAAAAAATGCTGTCATATGAAGTGGTTTTCTTACATCACATGTATTTTCATCCTTAGCCTAACTTTGTGTTGATTTGAATATATTGCACCCCAAAACTATTAATATTTTGAGTTCTATGTGAATGCAAAGATTTCTATGTGAATGATTTTGATATCCTGGCACCTATAAGTTATATTAATGAAGTTATTTATTTTAAAGGATTGAGGTAATGTCATTTGTTCAAAAAGACAATGGTTTCTAAAATAAAAAAATAGCTAATAAACAATTAGAATTGTATTCAACATATTCTGCCAAGTGTCAGGTTTCCTAGTATAGAAATGATCTTATTTTGAATGAAAAGTTTGTAGATGACTTTGTATAGAAATCAACTATTAGTAAATGTTATTTCAGCAAGTCTTGTAATCTGGAATTCTGAATGATAAGGTGATCTTCTTCTTCTTCTTCTTCTTCTTCTTCTTCTTCTTCTTCTTCTTCTTCTTCTTCTTCTTCTTCTCCTCCTCCTCCTCCTCCTCCTCTTCCTCCTCCTCCTCCTTCTTTTTCTTCTTGTGTGTGCGTGTTTAAATGTGCTGTGTGTGTGTGTCGGTTTGTTATACCTGGGAAGAGGGAATCTCAGATGAGGAATTGTCTTAGTCAGACTGGCCTGTGGGTATCCCTAGATGGTTATCCCCATTTTCTAAATTGCTAATTGATGTGGGCTTTTTGTGGGCCTGGACTGTAGAAGAAAGGTAGCTAGCTGAGCAAGCCAGGGCAGCAAGCCAATGTGCAGCTTTCTACTATGGTTCTTGCCTTTGCTCCTGCTTGAGTTCCTGCCCTGATTTCCTTCAGTGATAGATTGTGATTGGGAGGATAAGCCAAGTTAAACCTTCTTTTCTCAAGTTGCTTTTGGTGTGGTCATAGCAACAGAACTGGAATATATGCTGTCTTTATAGCATTCTTTTTTTGTTTGCTATAAATTCTTGACTATTAAAAAGGAATCTTATAGATTCAGAAAGTGATAATTTGGTCTATATTGCTACATTATTTCATGTAGCTCATAATTCAAGCTAAGAGTTTTTAAAATGTTTATTTTTATTTATAACAGTACTAATTTTGATAAATTCCTGTTATTTAGGGAATTATGCAGGCCGAGGAACTACTGGAATGGTTGCTCGCTTTATCCCTTCTCATCTTAGTAATAAATCCTGCAGAGTAACATCTCTGTGTTACAGCGAAGATGGCCAGGAGATTCTTGTCAGCTATTCTTCAGATTACATCTATCTTTTTGATCCCAAAGACGATACAGCACGAGAACTTAAAACTCCTGCAGAGGAGAGGCGAGAAGAGGTAAGCGGTGGTGGCGCATGCCTTTAATCCCACCACGTGGGAGGCAGAGGCAGGCGGATCTCTGTGAGTCCGAGACCAGCTTGGTCTACAAGAGCTAGTTCCTGGGCAGGCTCTAAAGCTATAGAGAAACCCTGTCAAAAAAAAAAAAAAAAGAAAAACAAAAACCAAAAAACCTGGACTCTTTCTTCATGGTGAGATGCCTGTAATTCCCGGGAAAAGGTAGGATAGATAATCAATTTAAGGTCATCCTTGGCTAAGTAAGTTTTGAGGTTAGCCTGGGCTATATATGATGCTGACTCAGAGAAGAAATAGAAAAGTGTTCAAGTAAAGAAGTAAATGCATTGATTTTTTTTGAAGGCTTTATGATTTAGGGAACATATGAAAGAATAGGCTAATAAATAGAGCTCTAGAAAAACTGAGCTAATTTTAAAAAGAAAATATGTAATATAAAACATTTAACCTTGTATATGCGTAACAGCAGTATAAAATATCAACAGCTCTGCACCTGGAGGCAAGCCAATTAAGACAGTAGACAATATGATGATAAACATCTAAGAGACTGTGTTCATGCATCAGGTGCCACCCCTTACCATTTACTATTCACATTAGGCAACAGTTCCATCCTTTTCCACTTGAGAAAGTAGGAAAACTTGAAGAGGGCATTTATATGAAAGGTGAATGAACTGAATTACTGTGACCAATATAAAAGTGGAAAGCTAGAAGTAGATTTTTGACAATATATAGCCATGAGAACATATTTGGTTTAGTTTGCTAGGCTTTTCCTAACATGCATGCCATATTGATCTTCAAAAATATTTTATTAAAGATTTACTTTTAATATTTTATTATTTTGGATGTATAGTAGTTTTGCTTATATGTATGTCTACACATTATGTACATGCTTATTGCATATCAAAAGCCAGAAAAGGCGTGTCTTTTCCCCTGGAATTGGAATTACAGAAGACTGTGAGCTGGAGTTGGAGTTACAGAAGATTGTGTACTACCATGTGGGCACAGGGAACCAATCTTGTGTTCTATGGAAGAGCAGCAAGTGCTCTAAACCACTGAGTCATCTCTGTAGTCTTAATTTTGACCTTTTTATTTTACAATGACTTATACTTATTCTATACTTTGGCTTATTAGCTGTTGTTACTTAAATTAATTAATTTTTACTTAATAGTGATTTAGTATTAGCTAGGTGTTAATGAGCTTATGTTATTTGATTTGTGAAAATAGAGATTAAACTCAAGGCCTCACATTGAGCAATAATCAAGAGAATATATCAAGCACTGAGCTATATTCTCAACATTTACACATTTAAAGGAAGAACAGTAGCAAATGTGTAATTACTATGAGGCAAAAAATGAAATTCAGTTGTGAATACCGATGATATGACCGCTCCAAGGTATGGTTGAAGGGAAGGGAGGGTTTTTATTGTAGATATGAGGAAGAGAACGGCCAGAGGCATCTGGAAGAGTACAGAGCAGAGACAAAGTAGTTGAGTAAATGTGACCAGCATCTGCATCTGGCCTTGAATGGAGAGAAAAGACTGGGAGAACCAGAGGTGGAGACTAAGAGAGAAAGACAAAAGAAAGGGAGCATAGCCAAAACAGCAGGGTTATGAGGAGAAATGAGAAGCTAGGGTAGGGAGAGATAGAAGCCCATGAGCTGAGGCAGTTTGGGGTAAGGGGTGGGGTGAGAAGAGCCAGGATGCCAGCATGAACAGTTACTGTGACACAGAGAGGGGCTGGAGGCCCACATGTGCTTTGGTATGCTAATTGATATCACAGATAGCCATTTATACTTTCTCCCATGATAAGGGAATGGCTCTTTTGATAGAGCCGAGCAGGCTTCACAAATGCTGAGGAATCCAGCTTTTATCTAACTGCCAGAACTTGGGCCTGACAAGTTGTTATTATAAAATTAGAAAAAAAATGATTATTTTATAGATGAATTTTAAGATGTTCAAAGTGGCAGTATATTTACGTAAATTAGGAAAATTATAAGCTGTTTATGACTTTATTGAACTGGTTAAAAACAGATTCTGCCATGTCATTTTGTTGCTGCTTTGTAATTTCCTCTTGAGACTTGTGGGTAAGTATAGTTGCAGTCAAACTCTGTGACTGAGAGATAATGAAGAACTTGGAAGTGTACACATGTTTTTAAGTGGGCCAGCCAACTTTGCTATCATAGACTCCTTATCATCAGGACTAATGCTGAATCATTTTATGGAAATGTTTTTCTTAGTATGCTTTGTTGAATCAACCAAGTTAAAAACAATAATTCTAAAATCTGAATTATAAAAATAAATCATACTTATTATATTTAGCCAAACAAGAGTTGTGTATATGTATGAAATTAATGAACTATCCTCTTTTTAATTTCCATAGTTTTTCATTTGGTATTTTATGTTAAAACTTTGACAATATTATTTAGATCAGCTATTCTTAATCCAACAATTATTTATTAGGTACCTCTGTACACTTAATTTTATATTAAACTTAAGAAAATGATTACATGAGCTGGGCAGGGGTGCATACCTTTAATCTCAGCACTCGGGAAGAAGAAGCAGGTGGATCTCTGAGTTTGAGGCCATTCTGTAGTCTGAGGGTCTACAGAATGAGTTGGAAGACAGCCAGGGCTACACAGAAAATCCTGTCTCTAAAAACCAAAAAGAAAGAAAGGAAGAAAGGAAGAAGGAAAAAGAAAAAAGAGAAGAAAGGAAGAAAAGAAAGTGACTACATAAAGACAAGACCCTTTCACTTAAGACAGCAAACTACCAGAGTATCTCTGACTCCCCTACCTCTAGTGCTGGGGTTATGGGGTTATACTTGTCCACACTCACTTTTTACATGGATTCTAAAAATTTGAACTCAGTTCCTCATACTTATGCAGCAAACACTCTTAGCACTGAGCCATCTCCCTGGTCATAATCAACTTGTAAAAGTATATAATTAAGTATTACATATTCACAAACTAATACAACTAATATCATTGTGGTACTGTATCATATTAACCAAACAAGAAACCATGCTAAGTGATAGATACAAAAGGGTACATATTCCACTGATATGCAATAATATCCAGAATACTCGCATCTTTTTAAAGATTTATATATTTTATTTGTATATGAGTGCACTATTGAATTTTTTCATGAAGAGGGTATCATATTCCCTTATAGATGGTTGTGAGCCCACCATGTGGTTGCTGGGAATTGAACCCAGGTCCTCTGGAAGAACAGTCAGTGCTGTTAACTACTGAGCATCTCTCCATCCTTGAATACACACATCTTTAGAGAGAGAAAGTAGATTATTGGTTTTTCTGGACCTTTGAAAAGGGACAGGAGAAGAATGGCTGTTGATGGAAGTGGGATTTCTTTTTGGGAAGATTAAAATGTTCTAGAATCAGATAATGATAACAGTTGATACTAATCCCTGAAAGTACTCTTTGACTTGGAAATTAATTGAGCTTAGTATTAACTCCCTCCCTCCCTCCCTCCCTCCCTCCCTCCCTCCCTCCCTCCCTCCCTCCATCTATCTCTGTTTCTGTATACATGCTATGGCACACATGTGGAGATAAGTATAACTTTTTAAAAAAAAACTTTTTTGTTGTTTGTTTTTTGTTTTTGCTGTTTTTTTCAAGACAGAGTTTCTTTGTGTAGCCCTGACTACCTGGAACTTGCTCTGTAGACTAGGCTGGCATTGAATTCAAAGAGATCTGCCTGTCTCTGCCTGCCTTTGCCTCCCTGAGTGTTGGAACCACTGACTAGCTCAGAGAACTTTTAAAAGTTGATTCTTTCTTTCTTCCATATTGGTTCCTAGAATCGAACTTATGTCATTAGATTGGACAGCATTAATATTTACCCACAGCATTTGCTCACTGGCCTCCACTAGTGACTGTCCCCCCTCCCCATGATGTTTACTCATTGGTGTGCAAGTTGACACAGACCTAGACATATCTAGGAAAAGAGTCTCGAGTAATGAATTGCCTCCATTAATTTGTCCTGTGGGCATGTCTATGGGGGCATTTGCTTAATTAATGATTTATGTGTGAAGGTCCAACCCACTGTGGGTGCTGCCACTCTTGGGTGGGTAGTTCTGGGTTCTATAAGAAAGCAGGCTGAGCCATGGAGAGCAAAGCAGAGATCACCTTCCTCCATGAGCTCTGTTTGAGTTCTTACCTTAGTTCTTGTTCTGGCTTCCTGTCATGATAGAATAGAAAGCAAACTGAAATGTTTGGTGACCTTGACAAGGATGGTATCAACGGAAAGACTTAAAAATAAAACCAACAACAATGGAAAAATTGATTAGACTGGATTGAGAAAGGAATGGTCGGGTAAATGCAGGCATTCCTCATGCTTTCGAGTAAAGTGAAAGGAAAAGAACTATAGCTGGAAAGAAATATATACACTCTTATGCAACTGTGATTTTCTTTGCATCAATAACAGAACTTTCAGCATATTGTGAGAGAGAACCAGATAAGAAGACATGAATATTAAAAGAATAGAGTGATTATTGAGGCAAGGAGTTTGAGGATTGAAGGAAGGCAATAAAAAAAAGCAGTAGGTGGAACACTTGGGATTAAAGAGAATGAATGATGCATTCTTTGAGAATGATTAGGTTAGAAAGTTTCAAGTAGAAATAAATTTGTAGAATTCTGCTGAGAAAATTGATGTCATTTCTACAAGGCTTTATTTTTAAAATAAATAAAGCCATATTTTGTGTATTATAGGACAAAAATTTGGGGGTAAAGTCACCCTTTCAAGTGGGTCAGTGAGACAAATGTATTTGGTGACGACTAGTCATTGTCTAATTGTTACTGCATTAGTGGTCAATGGGATAAAAAAGAACCTCTGTTTTCACAATCACTGCCAAATAAATGACACATGTTGGGTTATTTGGGGAATGTAAAAATGGTTCTTGCTTCTTTAGAATACAGAAAGTTGAATTCATGCTACTACAAAAACTAGAAAACAATTAGGTTCATATTTTTTTACTTTACTCATACATACTTTTGCTTATACTCTGTCCTTCATCACCCAATATAATCCTTTCTTGGTTCACTTTCTAAATTTTTGGACTTTACCCACATTTCCACGTATGTATGTATGTATGTGTGTACATGTGTATACAAATATACACATACACACTGATTTACATCATAGACCAGGTCCCCATATGAAGCAGAACACAGGTTTTTATGAGTTTGTGTCCTCTGCTTGATCTTATACTTTCCATGTCCATCTTTTTCCCTCATGCCATGATTTCATTTGTCTTCACAAATGAGCTGTATTCCATTGTGTCTGTATACTACACATTTATTATCTGTTCATTTGGATAGAGAGGCAGTAATATGGATGTCCACGTCATCTCTGTGGAAGGCTATGAAGATGTTTGTATGCTTAGGAGTTGCAAAGTCATATGGTAGTTGTTTTTTTTTTTTAAGTGGGAGAAAAAGTTATTAGCTAAGAATGATGGCAGAAATGGAGAAAGTTTGACACAAGTGATGAAGGGATAAAGTTGATACTGGGAAGAGCCAGAGAAGTAAGTGGTCCAGAAAAGATTAAAAACAAAACATTATGTCATTGTTAGGTGAGTAGGTAAGGTACTTAGACTATGCTACCGTCGCAGTATTGTAGCTTAGGCTGATTGACTTTCTTGCTGTCAGCTGGACAGTGATTAGAGCTCACTGTACATAGTTCATTTCTTTTTCCTTCTCTCTTTCTCCCTCTGTCCACCCTCCCTCATCTTTCTCGAGATTAAACTCAAGTAAGTACCCTACCACAGAACTGTATCTCCTCTAGACAACCACCACCACACCACCTCCTCCTCCTCTTCTTTTCCTCTTTAATTTTGAGACAAGGAGCCGCTAAGTTGCCTAGGCTGTTCTTAAGTAGGTCTTGAATTTGTGATCCCTCTGCTTCACCTGGGATTACAGCCTGTCATCACTAAACCCCGTTTACATATACACAGTCTCAAAGTTGTATTTGTATTTGTGCTTTTTAGGTTGAGGAAAGTAAGTATGGACTGTATCACCATGGATATTTAGCATCATGAGCACTGTAAAAGACTAATACAGAATATAGCAGTGTTTTATGTGTTGATCTAGCATTTCATTCTATACTTAAAGATAGTAGGGAGTTGGAAAAGCTCCATTAAATTACGCTGTAAGAATTGTGGACTGGGGATTAATTCAGTGGTATAGTACTTAGCTCATCTGCATAAGGTCCTGGATTCAGTCGCTATCACTAGAATAAAAGTTGAAAGCAATCTGTTCTTTAGACTCACGTAGAATCTACTTGTGTTATTACCTTGTAGTTACGACAGCCTCCAGTTAAGCGCTTGAGACTTCGTGGTGATTGGTCAGATACTGGTCCCAGAGCAAGGCCAGAGAGTGAACGAGAACGAGATGGTAAATACATTATGGCATTTTCTTTGTGATATATGGTATTAAAGATTTATTTACCCTATCTGTGTGAGTGTTTTGCCTGCATGTGTACTGTGCCTTGTGCTGGTGGAGATCAGAAGAAGGCATAACATATCCTGACACTGGGGTTACAGATGGTTGCGAACCACCTTGTCGATGCTGGGAACTACCTGGGTCCTTTTCAAGAGCATCAGTACTTTTAACATCTGAGTCATCTCTCAGGTGTCTCCTCATTTCCATTGTTTTCTATTGTAAATGATGCTGCAATGAAAAAAATTTTTTGAGACAGGGTTTTTCTGTGTAGTCCTGGCTGTCCTGGAACTCACTCTGTAGACCAGGCTGCCCTTGAACTCAAAGAGATCTATCTGCTTCTGCCCCCAGAGTACATGTGCCCACTACTGCCCAGCTACAATGAAATCTTAATAAGTATATTTTCATGAGTTGCCCAAATATGTCATAGGATAAATTCCTAAGAGTGCAATGGCTGAGACACTAAATAAGTATGTTTTATTTTTATATACACATACATGCAAACACACATATATGTATATATACATATAAAAACAATTTATCTGAATATATCTTATCTAATGAATTTATAGCCAAAATCTTATTCTAATTATTATTAAACCTTTTATAATCAAAAGAGTATTCCTAAGTATGTATTCTTGACTATTTTATAATAGTCTTAAATATAAAGTTACAGTGTGTAAAGGTGGCTTACATGTCTGTAATTCCAGAACTTGGAAGGCTGTGACAGAAGGATTATCATAAGTTCAAGCCAGGGCTACATAGTAAATTCCAGACCAGGCTGGACTACAGAGTGTAGAGACCCTGTCTTCAAAAAATAAACCATATCAAAGAATTATGTGATTGGATAATTATTACATTTTTTTATGTGACCTCATACTCTTTGTCTGTTTTGACTTTTGAGCCTGGGACTTACTGTGTAGCCCTGACTGCCCTCATTACTGTGACAGCCTGACTGTGTATTCCAGGCTGGGCTCCAAGTAACAATAGTCTTCCTGCTTCAGCCTCCTGAGTGTTGGGCTTTCATACTTCCATTTTAAGATGCCCTTAAAATCCACAGCACTGTAAGAACATAAAATATTCTTAATATCTCCCATGGTGTAACAAAATAAAATGTCCTTAATGGAGAAAAGCAAACAAATGTTTATTTGAACAAAGAAAAGGGGTTAAGTTGAAAAGACAAAATACATTCTCTGACAGCTAGTTGCAAATACCTGTGGCCATATAACCCCAAAAGGACCTGATCTCATTAAATACTGGGACTTTCAGTAAATAATAAGAATTCTGCTTTAGGGAAATTGTGGTTAAAAACCCCAAGGTTATTTCATGTCTGTCTTTGATGATAATGTTTGTAGTGAGAAAGCTAGCCTTTCCTTCTGTTTATTCCACTTAGAATTCATGAGCCCTTTCTATGGGGTACTCTTATCACTATTAATAGACAGTGGTGGGGCAGGAGTGGGAAACATAGTTACCTAAGAACAGGCATAGATGAAGATGAGAATTCACACTCTTGGAGGTGGTACTGTACACATACATGGGTAGTCACTCATATAATTATTATAAAAGGTGATGGGGACTGTAATGGCTTTTTAGACATTTATGTAAGTTACTTGGGTGATTTGATTTTTAATTTCTAGCATCTTAAAGGCTGTCAAATCTAGGTTTTTCTATCAAAGATCCTGACTTTTTGCCAAATTTACTAATAAACTTTATATTGTTATAGGAGAGCAAAGTCCCAACGTGTCACTGATGCAGAGAATGTCTGACATGTTATCAAGGTGGTTTGAAGAAGCAAGTGAAGTTGCACAAAGCAATAGAGGAAGGGGAAGACCTCGGCCCAGAGGTAATTTGCTCACTACTTAAAGTCGTTGGAAAGCTGGTAAAATCTATTTATGGAAGATAGTTTTGGCGGGTTTTTTGTTTGTTTGTTTGTTTGGTTGTTGGTGGTGATGGTTGTCTCTCTCTCTTCTTCCTTCCTTCCATCCATTCTTCCTTTCTTCTTTGTGTGGTTTTTTAGATAGGATTTCTCTGTGTAAGCCCAACTTTCCTGGAACTCACTCAGTAGCCCATGCCTACTAGAAGATAGTTTTGGTTGCTATCATCTATCTAAACTGAACTGTGTTTTATAACCAAAGTAGTCATAGGTCTCTTCTGATTCCACTAGACCCAATTGTAACTTATCTCAAAACAAAGAAAACAAGACTAGGATTTCCAATTTTAAGTCCCTTTCCAATGCACTTTAAAAATGGACATCTACAAAACTCTAAAGTTTTGCATATAATTTTAAAAATTATTTTAAAAATGTGTATATGGTGTGTATACATATATGTGTGAGTGTGCATATGGAGGTCAGAAAACAAGTTGGGGGAGTTAGTTTTCAAACTCAGTCAGGGTTGGCAGGAAGTATCCTTACCTGCTTAGCCATCATACTGGCCCAAGATTGATTATTTTAGCAAGAATCTGTCATTGTTTCTTATCTCTGTTGATAGACTGTTTGCTCAAGTGAACCAAACCACTAGTGGCTATTACTGGTAGACTGAACGTCTTAGTTGGGGGTTTCAACAAAAATCAAGTTGGAGAGGAAAGATTTACCTGGCTTACACTTCCACATCACTCTTCATCACGAAAGAAAGTCAGCACAGGAACTCACACAGGGCAGGAACCTGGAGGCAGGGGCTGATGCAGAGACCGTGGAGGAGTGCTACTTATTGACTTGCTTCCCACAGCTTGCGCAGCCTGCTTTTTTATAGAACCTGGGACCATCAGCCCAGGGATTGAACCACCCACAATAATCTGGGCCCTCCCTCATCAGCCACTAATTAAGAAAATGCCTTACAGCTGGATCTTAGGTAGGCATTTTTCAGTTGAAGTTGCCTTCTTTCAGGTAACTCTAGCTTGTGTTAAGTTGACATAAGACTAATCAGCACATTGAAATTTCGTGTGTGTGTGTGTGTATGTATGCATGTATGTATGTATATGTATATATACATATATAATATATTTATTTATTATACACATATATTGTGTGTGTGTTTTCAGAGCATGTTTCTGTAGAGGTTTGTTTTTGTGTTATTTTGCATTTAAAATTTGAGTTCAAGGCTGGAGATATGGTTCAAGAACAATTAAGAGATGGTTTAGAGGGTGCCAGATTCCCTGTGACTAGAATTAAAGATGGTTATAAGATATCATGTGGATGCTTGGACTTTAACCCATGTCCTCCGAAAGAGCAGCCAGTGCTCTTAACCACTGAGTTTAAGTCCCAGCAACCACATGGTGACTCCCAACCATCTATAATGAGATCTGGTGAACTCTTCTGGTATGTGTATGCATAATAAATGAAGACATTTTTGAGGGGGGAGGGGGGAGTTTAGAGCATTTACTGCTTTTGGAGAAGACTTGAGTTCAATTCCCAGAACCTACATAACTGCTCACAACTGTCAACAACTCCAGTTCTGGGAATTCAATATCTGTTTCTGGCCTCTGCAGGCACATGCATGCTTGTGACCAAAACACTCATACATGTATGTATGTAAAATAATCAGATATTTTAAAAACTTGAGTTTGCATTAACATGTGTTTCTTTTCTTTTTTTTTTTTTTTTTTTTGAAGGTGGAACAAATCAGCCAGATGCTTCAACTCTTCCTACAGTTCCATCAAGTCCTAATTTGGAAGTGGGTGAAACTGCAATGGATGTAGATACCCCATCTGAGCAACTTCTTCAGCCTTCTACATCCTCTACAGTGTCAGTTCAGGCTCAGGCCGCAGCATCTGCCACAGAAAGCCCTCATTCTCCAGACAGTGAGCAAAGGCAGCCTGTTGAAGCACCTGGACAGCACACCCATCATCAGTCTGGTGAGGATGTTATTCTTCAAGTGGGCTGTTCAAGTGCTGGTCTCTCATAATGAGCACCCACCTTTTAGTCTGTTGTGAAAGATGCTACATCACAGTAACGTCTTGCTGGAATAAATGGTCAGAATTATTTGTGGTATGTAAATAGTAACTTAAGCACAAACTTCGTGTATCTAATTTGCTTTAATTTTTACAAATAGTGAATCTTTAATTTATAAAAGATAGTTTTTTAAGTTAACTTGATGTTATTTTGACATAGTTTAATACACTGAAAGATTATTTTATAGACCATTATTGATGAAAATAATGTTCTAGATTTATTTGGTTCTGTGTCTATATTAAAATGATAGTGAAATATATCTCATTATTATTATTCCTTTTGTATTTATATTTTAAATTTTTTCTCAAATTATGAAATACTTTAACTATGTTCAGTATAGTGAGCCTGTGATTGACCCTTCTCAACAGCATAGTGTGCTTTACCAGGAGAATTATTTCATTATTATATATATGAAAAAGAATTCTTTTACCAAATTTTTGCCTTTACTTGATACTAGTAAAAAAAAAATACCAGTTCCTAAATTCTCTTGGTATATTTTTCTCTCAATATAGTAACTTCTTATTTTTTCCTCCCAAATATGGAATATACTATTATTTATAGTAATTTCAATAAATATATGTATATAGATGTATATGTACATCTACATAATCTACTTGAAATTTTTACTATACTTGTCAATAGAGTAAAAACAATGTATTTGTTTATTATTTTTAAGTTCTTTTAAGGAAACATTTTACTTGATACAGAACAAAAATGTTAGCAAGGAATATAGTTAGGAATACAGCTACCACCTAAACTAAGACTTCTGACTGTTTCTTAACAGCTTTGCCTCCAAGCTGTCCTGGATGCCAAATCCAAGATAATATGTTTTAAATTAAGTTCTGTTTTATCACTGTATCTCATTTTTGGTAATTAATATTCACTTTCTATGGGAATGGAAGTCAGGGTCAACCACAGACCTGTTTAACACTATATACAGTTTATCAAAACCTAAACTAAAGCTGAGCTAGAAAGTCAGCTCTTCCCCATTTCACAAGGTGTTTCAGCTTGAGAGAAAATAAAATATTTTGCATTGTTTGAGAAATAGGGCCAGAGGAGTGAAAAGTAGATCAAAACTTGTATAATTGGTAAAGATAATAAAAATGTTTAAAATATGTATTTTTATTTCATGTGTTTTGCCTGCACTTAGGCATGCACACTATCTTTGTGCCTGAGGAGGCCAGAAGAGGAGGGCATCAGCATCCATGGAACTGGAGTTAAATCAGTTGTGAGCCACAATGTAGGTGCTGGAAACTGAATCCAGGTCCTCTGTAACAGGATAATGCTCTTGACGACTGAGCCATCTCTGTAGCCTCAAGATAAGGATTTTTAAAGTAATAGTGTGGTTGCAAATATTCTGCAAGATTTTTGTTTTGTTTTGTTTTGTTTTGTTTTTCGAGACAGGGTTTCTTTGTGGCTTTGGAGCCTCTCCTGGCACTAGCTCTGTAGACCAGGCTGGTCTCGAACTCACAGAGATCCGCCTGCCTCTGCCTCCCGAGTGCTGGGATTAAAAGCGTGCGCCACCATCGCCCGGCCAAGATTTTAAGCAATTATAATAATAACTTATAATTAAAAAGCAAAAGATTCTTTAGCCCAGTTTTAAGTTCTACTGAGTCTTAAATAATCCCAATTATTTTGTAAACACATTTGTGAGTAAATATTTGGGAGCTTTAAAAAATGCTTTTCATAGCTATTTTATGTATTTTCATACCACAGTGTAAACTGCTGAACCCCTTTTAGTGTTTAATGTACTAAGCACTAGAGAATAGTTTTGTGGTGACTAAATTATCATAACATTGGCCATGAACATTTCAAAGAAAGTAAGGAAATATTTTGAGTTAGTAGATTGAGACTTTTCTTGACTTTTATAAGCTATGATTAGAGTATTTTCCTGTTTTCTAAATTGTAGCACTTCTGAGGAAAATGGTTTGGTGTGAGATGTAGGTCATGCCTGTAACTGTTTCAATAGTAGCCCTTTCATTATCCTAGCATCCAACATGTCTACAGCAAGGACTTCATGTTTTTGTTTTGTTATTTTCCTGGTCCACTTGTGCTTACCAAAGCCTATCCAAATCCAGATGGCTTCACAGACACTGGGGATTGTCCATTGTGAGACGGTAGTAGGTGGGAATGCCAATTTAGAGCTGTGATTTCTGTCAGTGCCTTGTGTATAGACTGTTTCTCTATACTCATCTTGCTGTGGATACCTTTTTATGTTAATGTTTATGCCTTTCCTTCATATCACATGCCTCTCCTGTCATCTTTAATAGTTAACTAAGGGACAGTGAGAACAAAAACTAGCCCAAGTGCTTCGAGATCCTTCTCATAATCTACACCTGAATCTCTAGTGATGACGATGAAAGTCGTAGCACAAATCTAGTGAACACTTGCCAGAGCAGTCTCTTTCCACACCTTTGTTGTCCAGCTGTAAGTGTGTTTATTTTACTCTTTCCTGGCTCTTAACATTTTTATCTTTCTGGTTTACCTTCTCTACTCCATAAGCTGTGAACTTCTTCACAATGAAGAACAAAACACTCATTTTCTTGACCATTCCAGCTCTCTAACATTGTCTAGAAGAAACATATCTTCTATTACACCTGACTGGAGCAGTTCAAACCATACCTTCCCAGATTCTCAGGGACTACACTCCTCTATACCTTCCCAGATTCCCAGGGACTACGCTCCTTCTCCATACCTTCCCAGATTCCCAGGAACTACACTCCTGTCCCTGTGCTTTCCCAGATTCCCAGGGACTACACTCCTGTTCCTGTCTTTGTGCCTTCCCAGATTCCCAGGAGTTACACACCTGTCCCTGTGCCTTCCCTCTTCTACGAGGTCCCTGAACCCTGAGGGAGGGATGATGGGAACATTCCATTTATGGCTGAGCATTCTGAAGTCCCTTCTCTCTCTCAGCATACTGTTTTGCTGTGGGTCTCTGTATTAGTTCCCATCTGCTGCAGAAGGAAGCATCCCTGATAGTGACTAAGCAAGGAACTGATCTATGAGTATAGCAGAATATCATTAGTACTCATTTTATTGATACATTCCTGTAGTAGAACAGTAGTATTTGGTTTTCCCCTGAGTCTTTGGGCTGTCTATTCTCAGGTTCTTGGTCATTCAAACAACATCTGATATGGGCTCCATCTCATGGAGTGGGGCTTAAGTCAAATCTGATTTTGGTTGGTCATTCCCACAAACTTTGTGCCACCATTGCACTAACATATTTTGCAGGCAGGACACCATTGTAGATCAGAGAGTTTGTAGCTGGGTTAGTGTTTGTGTTTCCTTCAGTACCATACAAGGTGCCTTCCAGTGCCAAGAACACTAGCCACTAGGGGCGAAGGCTCTAAATAGGGTCCAACTTGACTTCTCTGTGTTCAATGAGTTGTGCAGGTGTTTTTTCAGCAATAGGACCTTGTCATCAGTTTGTGGAGAACCACCTGTGGTCTTTGCAATAGTCTGGATTGTTTTAGGATTTTGGTGAACAATTCAATTAGATGTAGCCCAATCCCAGTACTGGAAACCTCATTTGTTGACAAGAGGTGTCCAGTTGGGGCTCTGTCTCTTCTATTATTTGGCAAATTTGTTTAGATTGTCTTCATATATGTATGAAGATGATAAATGTATATGTATATATGTGTGTGTAGGTAGTTAGGTAGATAGATAGATAGATAGATAGATAGATAGATAGATGAAATACATATATAATATGTATCTATTTTAGGAAGCTTCTACTGTATTAGGTTTCCATACTACCACTCAAATGGCCCTTAATTTTAGCTGTCTCTCACTATAGTCTCTCCTTTCTCTCCATCTTCCTTCTCCATCCCTGCTTGATCCATTCCGGTCCCCTTAATCCATAGCTATGTATTCTATTTCCCCTTTCTGGTGAGGTATGTCCCTCTCCTTTAGTCCCTTACTTTATACCTAACCTCTGTGGTTCTGTTGATTGTTGCTTGCTTATCACTGACTTAACCTAATGTACACATATAACAGAATACATACCTAGTATTTGTTTTTCGCGTCTGGATTACCTCACTCAAGAAGAACTGTTCCTTAACTCTTAATTAGTGGGTTGAAGACAATTCTTTATAAACAGAAGTCACAGTAATAAGAGATTAATGACTCAAGCATGCTTGATAATCCAAACAACAACAAAAAATTGTGTAAGAGGCTGAAATGTAATTTGTTGTATTACTGAGAGGATTTGTATGTGCTTCCATTACTGAGAGCTAATTTTCCTCCATGTCCCTGGTCTGCTCAAGGACACCCATCTTGCACTTGCCTGCTTCTTTTCTTTTTTTAAAAAAAATATTTTTATTTTATGTGCATTGGTGCTTTGCCAGCATGTGTGTCTGTGTGAGGTGTCCGATCTTGGATTACAGACAGTTGTTAGCTGCCATGTGGGTGCAGGAAATTGAACCTAGGGCCTCTGAAAGAGCAGATAGTGCTCTTAAACACTGAGCAGCATCTCTCCAGCCCTTGCTTACTTCTCTTCATGTATTATCTTTTCCTTCTCCTTAATTAAACATAGTCTAGCAGCACAAACTTTCTCCCCAGTTAAAACACACACAAAGTTCCCTTTGACTTTTCTTCCTCACCATTATCTACCCCTCCCCCTGCGCCTAACATTTAGTACTTCTGCAGAGTATATATGCTTTCTCTTTCTGCTTCATTGCCCCCACTTCTTGAACCTGCTACAGTCTGGTTTTGCCTCATATTAGTACATCATAGCAGTATCCTTTGCTGGCGTATATTAGAAACAGTGACAGAGTGGCTTGCTCCATCCTTTGACTGTTTCTATCATTTGTGGACACACTTTTATCACTTTACCTACAGTTCTTTGGTCCCTCAGTTGTGCCCGCCCTATCCCTGGTTTCTTCCTCTTAATATTAAAATCCCC